GTCAGGTTGTAGGCCTCTAACAAGCCGCATGATCCATTACACCCCTTACGGGACTATTGAAATTTAACAGTGGCAGCTCCTACAGAAAAGCATCGGCATTGTGGCCATGCATATGCAGTTACTCCATAACGATCGCGTCGTCATCTACGGCCTTTCAAACTTAATTTTACCTAATGGTAGATGTCGCATGAATCCTCCGAGAAAGCTGTGAAAACAGACTGTGTCGCTCACTCCGTGGAGTATGATGTGACATCCAACACTTTTCGTGCATTGTTCATCCAAACAAGCTTGTGGTGTTCCTCCGGCTCGGCAATGGCGAATGGCAGCCTAATCCAAACAGGGGGGTACTTAGGCGGAGAGCGGAGGGTCAGGATCTTCAATCCATGCCCAACATGTGACTGAGAATAAATTGATTGAGGAATTGTGGTTAAAAGATGGTACTCCACCAATCATGTGTTGCCAGATGGACGAAAGATTATAATTGGAGGCATAAAACAATTTAACTACGAGTTTTATCCAAAGACAGCTGCAGATCTTGGTAAAACATTCGTGTTACCATTTCTCGTTCAGACCTTTGATGCTATAGATATGGAACTGTTTTACCTAACACGTGTTTCTGTTTTAAGTTTTGATGATATTAATATTAATTATTTTCTGAGAGGTAAGCTGAGGCATACAAAATACTTTGAGTAGGGGTGGTCCTAAATTCTAATTTTAGCCATACTTCAAATGTAGAAAACTAGGTTGAAGTTATATTTGTCGTACCGTCACACACTCGAGTCACATTTGTGATTGCCATATGCAAGTCTTAAAAAATAAGCAGTTACTCTTATGAGTTCTGCTCAAGCCCTCACAACACCCCCACAACCAGTATTTTTTAAAGTTTTCCTCTAGTATTTTCTCAGCGCACAAGAAATGGGGAACCTTCTTCTACTTTCCCTCTTTTCTACCTTTTCCTTGCTTCTGTCGGTATGTCCGAAGCCAAAAACAGGCAGTGGCAGCTTCTACATAAAAGCATCGGCATTGTGGCTATGCACATGCAAGTGCTCCATAACGACTGCGTCATCGTTTATGACCGCACTGACTTTGGCCTTTCCAACTTAACTTTACCTAAGGGCAGATGCCGCCATGAATCCTCCGAGACAGCTGTGAATAGGGACTGCACCGCTCACTCCATTGAGTACGATGTGTCATCCAACACTTTTCGTGCATTGTTCGTCCAAACAGACGTGTGGTGTTCCTCCGGATCGGCAGTGGCTAACGGCAGCCTGATCCAAACAGGTGGGTCCTTAGGCGGAGAGCGGAGGGTGAGGATCTTCAATCCATGCCCAACATGTGACTGGGAAGAAATTTATCGTGAAATTGTGGTCAAAAGATGGTACTCCACCAACATGGCTCACAACAATATCAGACCTCTACGAGTCCGAGGACATTGTCCCCTACAACCCCGCTGGGCTGCTCTCTAGTTGACTTTTTATTGACCCTACCAATAAGAGTCCTCATCTGAATGAAAAATATGAGTGATACCCAACAAACATGTTTGAAATGATATATGTTAACAAACATGTTTTTTTATTGTAAAATGAATCTTTAAATCGCAAGCAAGATTCACATAAATATGCGGCTGTAGGATTAGACCTAGCAACGCCTATCCGTTATCCTCTCATAGTCGAAGTATTATTATCATTAAATCACGATTTTAATAAATTTCCCCCCCCCCCAAAAAATCATAATTCATAATTTAGAATTATTTATATTCTTATTTTCAATTTTCAAACCCATATTACATGGCTTAAACTGATATGATAACAATACATAGCTTTCTCATGTAAAATGGAAGGGGCAAAAAAAAAATGTAAATACTGCACATGCATGTGCGGTAAAACAAAAGCAGCCAAATAAGCCTGTATACAAGGTGCAACTATTTGTTCTTTCGATAATTGTACTTCTTTAATTTATGCGTCCAAAAAATGTTTCAGTGTCTCTTAAAGTCTTAAGTTTTATAATAGATAAAATTATCTCCAATACAAATATTAATGGAAAATATTAGAGTTATGTAACATGAAAGAAAAAAAAATTCCAGCACTCACATGGTACATAACTCTTGTATTTCCCAATATTAATACCAAAAAGAACTTCGTAGAGAGAATGATGTACCGCGCATTCACTTGCGTGTGGGAAAGATCTTTCTCTATCATCTGCAAGCTTCACCACTATTTAAAGCCATTAATTAGTGTTTGGTAGAAGATTTATTTTGGGATTGATGAAAAAGTGTAAGTGGATATTGGAAAATACCATGTTTGGTTCAGGTTTTTGAAAAAAATATTAAGCAAATAGGATAGATGGGGAAATGACTTTTGTGTTGATTTTTGGATGAAATTCATTGTTACAGAATACCACTTGAAATGTGGTATTTTGAGATAACTGAAGAAGTAAATTTTGCAAATTTAAATAAATTTTTCTGGTAATATTTCAGTTAACCAAACAACTTTTTTTACATTTTCCTATCAAACTCACTTTGCAATCATTTCCCTAGTAATTACATTTTCCTAGTATTCAAAAAATTTCTCATAAACCAAACACTCAGCACATCACAGTTCCCAACCTCAAAGTACCCATTTTTTCTAAGGGCCATTTTTACACTGCGTTTCTAACATTTTTACGTGTGTTTAGACTAGTTTACTTCCATTGATAGTTGTAAAAATAGACGTGTGGTTGTCAAAGATTCATGGATGTCATATATATATTTTTTAAATTATTTATTGTTTTGAATGTCAGTGAACAGATTCATGGATGAACATTAATTTCATTTGGGAAAGTCAAATTCAAATAAAGTGATGTATGAGACTTGTAATTTCAAATTTCAATGGAGGGGTTTGTAATTATTGCTTGCTGATATTCCTTGTCAGTTATTTTTTTACCGCCGACTTTTCATTTTTATGCTTTACTTATTCAGTACTTATTTTAAGGAAAAAATATTTGTCCTTTTAAATGACATAACTTGTGTCATTTTACTCTCTCAAGTTATAAAAAAATGTTAAAATTTGAGTTTCTACCATTTTCACCCATTTTTTCTAAGGGCCATTTTTACACTGCATTTCTAACATTTTTACGTTTTTAGACTAGTTTACTTGCATTGATAGTTGTGAAAACAGACGTGTGATTGTCAAAGACGATTGCACTGCTCACTCCTGCGAGTACAATGTTGCTTCCAATACATTTTGGCCATTGTTTGTAGAAACTGACGGGTGGTGTTCATCCGGTTCGGCAGCTCCCGACGGCTCCCTGGTTCAAACCGGCGGGTACAACGATGGAGACCGTGCCGTGAGGATTTTATTTTCATGCCCAACATGTGTTTGGCAAGAAATTGAAGATGGACTTGCAGCTCGAAGATGGTACGCCACTGATCACATCCTGCCAGATGGAAAATAAATCGTTATTGGTGGCAGAAAACAATTCATTGCAAATACATTGTCATTCGCCACTATTGAAATTAATTAAAAGAAATTAAGATGAGAGATAACAAATGGAAGTGTTATACATATTTACTTAAAATTTATTGCAAATTAACACGTAGCTTGTAGTAGGCCCAAATTCAAAAAACAAAAAACAAAGCAAGAAGTCACTGTACTTGGCAGTTGGCAGATTATAATATCGAAGGAAGAAGGAATCAAAGCAAAAATATGGGCAGTTGTATTTCAAAAGGAAAAATTCCTATATGTACAGGCATACATCTAATAATAATTATTGGAATTTACGGTTTAGTTTCATTTGAATTTGAACGTAATTTTTGAATTTCAAATTTGTAATCTATTACTATAAATATTCATATTAATGACAAAATAAAGCAGAAAAGATTATAATCCAATCTCTCATGATGAATGAATGAAAGCAAAAATATGAGCAGTTGCATTTCAAAAGGAAAGATTCATATATGTACAGCCATACATCTAGTAATAATTATTGGAATTTACGATTTACTTTCATTTGAATTTGAATGTAATTTTTGAATTTCAAATTTGTAATCTATTACTATAAATATTCATATTAATGACAAAATAAAGCAGAAAAGGTTATAATCCAATCTCTCAGGATGAAGGAATGAAAGCAAAAATATGAGCAGTTGCATTTCAAAAGGAAAAATTCATATATGTACAGCCATACATCTAATAATAATTATTGGAATTTACGATTTAGTTTCATTTGATTTTGAATGTAATTTTTGAATTTCAAATTTGTAATCTATTACTATAAATATTCATATTAATGACAAAATAAAGCAGAAAAGGTTATAATCCAATCTATTACTATAATTATTATTAGATGTATAACTGTCCATATATGAATTTTTGGATTTGACAACTGCCCATATTTTTGCTTTCGTTCCTTCATCCTTCGATATAATCTACAGTGACTTCTTGCTTTGCCTTTTTTTTTTATTATTTAATTTAGGCCCAGTACGTAGCTAATAGCTAGTACCGATTTATATTTCAACTGTTCGTTTTGTATTTCTATATATGTATACGGTTTTTAACTTTAAACGAATAAAAAAAATCAATAAGAGAAGCATTATAAAACGAATCATAAGGATTCAAACAAAAAGCATTATTTAAATAAAATAATCTCCGTATCCACGCATTTACAATCGCATGCGAAGATAAATAAATGTCTAAATTCTTTAATTAACTTTTAAAAATGAGATCATGCGCTAGTAAAAATCATATAAAAATTTAATATGAAGTTAGGTCTTCGTATTTAGGGTTTTATGACAAATGATAAGGAGGACAAATGCAACAGACGCCATCAGTATTTATTTAAAATCCATACGATACTTGAACTGCAACCTCATTACAGTCATTTTACACATTTCTATAAATCAAGCACTTCTTCAGTGTTTTTCCAGCTCGTAAAAAATGGCTAACCTTCTTCTACCTTCCCTGCTTTTCTACCTTCTTCTCGCTACTGTGACAGTTCCATCTCCAGCCCAAGCCAAAAATGGACAGTGGCAGCTCCTACAGAAAAGCATTGGCATTGTGGCCATGCACATGCAGTTACTCCACAATGACCGCGTCCTCATCTACGATCGCACTGACTTTGGCCTTTCGAACTTAACTTTACCTAATCGCAGATGCCGCCATGAATCCTCCGAGAAAGTTGTGAAAACCGACTGTACCGCTCACTCGGTGGAGTATGATGTGACATCCAACACTTTTCGTGCATTGTTTGTCCAAACAGACTTGTGGTGTTCTTCCGGCTCGGCAATAGCGAACGGCAGCCTGATCCAAACAGGTGGGTACTTAGGCGGAGAGCGAAGGGTCAGGATCTTCAATCCATGTCCAACATGTGACTGGGAAGAAATTGACGGTGGAATTGTGGTTAAAAGATGGTACTCCACGAATCATATGTTGCCAAATGGACGACAGATTATAATCGGAGGCAGGCAACAATTTAACTACGAGTTTTATCCAAAGACAGCTGCAGATCTTGGTAAAACATTTGTGTTACCATTTCTCGTTCAAACCTTTGATGCTATAGATATGGATGACAACCTTTATCCATTTGTTTTTTTAAATGTGGACGGTAACCTCTTTATATTTGCCAACCACCGCGCCATATTGTTCAACTATCAGAAATACCAAGTGGTCAGAACATACCCTACGATACCAGGTGGAGATCCTAGGTGTTATCCTAGTACTGGTTCAGCGGTGTTGCTACCTTTGAAGAATTTACAAGCACCGTCTGTGGAAGCTGAGGTCTTGATTTGTGGTGGAGCTCCCAAAGGGTCTTACGAGCAAGCAAAAGAGGGTACTTTCATCAAAGGATTGGATACGTGTGCTAGGATCAAAATCACTGACCCGAAATCCCAGTGGGTCATGGAGACCATGCCGGGTAGTAGAGTCATGAGTGACATAGTCATGCTCCCTAATGGAAATGTTTTACTCATCAATGGAGCGTTCGAAGGGACTGCCGGGTGGAACTTGGGTCAAAACCCAGTTTTGAGCCCGTTTCTGTATAAAACAAATGGTAAGGTCGGGTCTCGGTTCGAGTTGCAAAACCCGACCACCATCCCTCGGATGTACCACTCCACTGCCATTTTGCTTCGCGATGGTAGGGTTCTAGTAGGTGGGAGCAATCCTCACGTAGGTTACAATTTCACCAATGTGTTTTTTCCAACGGAACTGAGGTTGGAATCGTTTTCTCCTTCGTATTTGGAGCCTCGATTCTCTAATGAGCGTCCAAGTATCGTTGATCGTGCTCCCCAATCCCAAATCAAAATCAATTACGCTCAGAAGTTAAAGGTTCGATTCAGGGTGACAGGAATATTAGCTCAAGATTCAGTTTCAGTGACAATGTTGGCGCCGCCTTTTACAACGCACTCGTTCTCCATGAATCAAAGGTTGTTGATTTTTGAGCCAAATAATTTGAAAGCTGTTGGAAAATCAATGTATCAAGTTGAGGTCACCACACCTCCTTCGGCGATTCTTGCACCACGTGGTTTCTATTTACTCTTTGTGGTCCACCATGACATTCCAAGCCAGGGTATTTGGGTTCAAATAATGTGATTTTCTTCGGTCCCGGTCATTGCTCGACAACATAGTTTATTTGTATTTTTCTTTACATTAATCATTGTTTTCAATGTCAATGAGCTAATTCGTAGATGAGTTCAGTAATTAGTAGCGTGCTATTGTTGAAGGGTTTTGTTCCTTTAAATAATATACTAATCAATATTCGTGACAACAAAGCTGCCATAGATATTGCACACAATCCTATCCAGCATGACAGAACCAAACATGTTGAGGTTGACAGACACTTTATAAAAGAAAAGCTATGAAGGTACAATCCACTTTCCATTTATCAATTCTCAAAATCAACTTGCTGATGTGCTAACCAAGGCTGGATCCGCAAAAGTGTTTCGAGAAACAGTAGACAAGTTGGACATGATTAATATCTTTGCACCAACTTGAGAGGGAGTGTTAAAATATGTAATTTAAATTATTGTTAGATTGTTGTTAGACTGTTATGATTTTGTAAATATCAGTTCAGATTATTAGATTAGTTGTTATTTTATCCTATTTATTAGCAGGTTGATTGAAACTGCTCTGGTGTATATAAACACCTCACCTTGAGGAAGAGAATTAATGAGAATGAATGTTACTGTACTGCTGTTACTGGTGTTTAATTTTTGACATTATCCTCCGTAGTCTATACCAAAAAAAATTACCGTGACTCTTTTTCGTAAAAAAACTCTTTGGCGCGCAATGAATCAACCATATATGTTACCATTTTTAATTTTTTCTCTTTATGTTTTTATTTATTGAAATGGATATGTCATATATCTAAGGAGAAACTTATAGCAATTCGTCTAATGATGATGTTACATATTAAACTCAACCCTTTCAACTAGTGCTCCTATTCTTATCAATTGATTCAATCCCTGGTAATTTTTCTCTTTTCTAAGTAGTTTTTCTTATCCATATCCCTGGTAATAGAAAGTGAGGACTACTTTTTTTTTTTTTTAGAACTAACTTTTCAAGTATTATTAGGAAAATAATTAAAAAAAATTACATTTATTTTATTAAAAAGTTTAAATTATGAAAATTCAATATTTTATATAAAATATTTTATGAAAGTGTTGATTTCACTTCAAGCATGAAGCATATGTATTTATTAAATCAATTCTGAGGATTGCACTCTCTCTTTTTTTGTTGTGTGCAGCAAATGTGCATGATTGTCATTCGCCACTATTGAAATTAATTAGGAGAAATTAAGATGAGAGATAACAAATGAAACTGTTATACATATTTACTTAGAATTTATTGCAAATGTATAACACATGACTAATAGCTAGTATCAATTTATATTTCAACTGTTGGTCTTGTATTTCTATGTATATGGTTTCAACTTTAAACAAAAAAAAAACTGAATAAAATAATCTCGATCCGTGCATTTAGAATCACGTGCAAAGATAAATATATGACTAAATTCTTTAATTAACTTTTAAAAATTTGATCATTTTTAAAAAATCAAACGAAAATTTTAATATGAAATCATGTCAATGTCGTATATAAGGTTTTATGACAAATGATCACGAGGACAAATGTGACAGAAGCCACCAATAATTAAAACCCATAGGATATTTGAACTAGAAATCAAGCATTCTTCAGTGTTTTCCCAGTTCACTAAAAAATGCTAACATTCTTCTACCTTCCATGTTCTTGTACCTTCTAACCGCTACTGTCACAGTTCCATCTCCACTGTCACACCACTGATTTGGTGCGATGGGCCAATTAAAATGGAAATTTTTTTGTGATGCATATATTGAAAAGAGAAAAAAAATGAATCCAAGTTTCAATTTTTTAATGGAAGTCATAGGTACACCGGGTGTATCAAAAATGCTCTTATAACGGACAGTGGCAGCTCCTATAGAAAGCATCGGCATATTGGCCATGCACATACAGTTACTCCATAGCAACCGCGTCGTCATGTACAATCGCGTCCTCATGTACAACCGCATTGACTTTGGCCATTCCAACTTAACTTTACCTAATGGCAGATGCTGCCATAAATTCTCCGAGATAGTTGTGAAAACGGATTGCACCGCTCACTCTGTGGAGTATGATGTGGCATCCAACACTTTTCATGCATTGTTCGTCCAAACAGATGTGTGGTGTTCCTCCAGCTCGACAGTGGCGAACGACAGCCTGATCCAAACTGACTGTTATATGGCTGAGAACAGAGTGTGAGGACCTTCAATCCATGCCCAAGATGTGACTGAAAAGAAATTGATGGTGGACTTGTGGTTAAAAGATGGTACTCCACCAACCATATATTTCCAGACGGACGATATATTGTAATCGGAGGCATAAATCAATTTAATTACAAGTTTTTATCCAAAGACAGATGCAGATTTTGTTAAAACATTCATGTTTTGTATAAAAAGAATACACGACAAGTTTCTATATTTAGTGTTAACATGTAATGCTTTCACCTTTTGTATGGTTATGATTCTCCACATTTAATATTTTCACCTATATATATGGTAACTATTTAATTGTTGAACGTTAAGCAGCTGGAGAAATGTAAACCCCCAAAAAAATCACATAAGTAACTACTCAAAATTTAATAAATTTTATATTTAAAGATATAAATCACATAACTATATATAACATAAATTTAAAAACACAAAAAGAGAAAATTAAATTTAAAAAAATGGAAAATAGTTTTTTTAAAAAAAATTAAATTTAAGTAAAAACGATAAAAAAAAATGTAAAAATTTGCTTATCTACCAATTTTACACGATGTTTTTACCCGGAAAAATTTATACCTCTAATATTTATTAGAAGTTGCGATAATAGTTTCATTTAAATTTGAATGTAATTTCAAATTTGTAATCGGTTACTATAAATATTCGTAATAATGACAAAATAAAGCAGAAAAGGTTACATCCTTAGGCACCGATGTAGCATTATGCAGGTGTGAGGAAATAAGCAGAAATAATGACATAAAAAAAAAAAAAAAGGTTATAATCCAATCTCTCTCTATATATTTCCCTCTCTCTCTTTCGTTTTTTTTTTTTTTTCACTTATTTCCTCAAATCTGCATAATGCTACATTGGTGCTTACTGATGTAAACTTCTTTGCTTTATTTTGTCTTATTACGAATATTTTAGTAACAGAGTACAAATTTGAAATTCATAAATTACATTTAAATTCAAATGAAACTAAATCGTAATTTCTAATAACTGTTATTACAAGTATAACTGTTCATATTTGAAATTTTCCGTTTGAAATGCAATTGAGTATATTTTTGCTTTCATTTTCCTTCAGCCTTTGATATAATCTGCCAAGTACAGTAGATTTTTTCTTTGCCTTTTGTTTCTTTGTGAATTTGGCCCCCTACATAGCTAATAGCTAGTATGGATTTATATTTCAACTGTTTGTTTTGAATCTCTATGTATGTATATGATTTTTAACTTTAAACGAACTAAAAAAAAAAAGAGAAGCATTAAAAAACGAATCATAAGGATTCTAATATAAAGCATTATCACGACGACAAATATGCAGCCACCAGTATTTTTATTTTTTTTTAAGATTGAGGGAATTAAAAAACAAACCACAGAGAAAATCAAAGTCTAGGGCAAGAAACGCTCATCCTATCACTATTCAACAGATTCCTACAAATCAAGGGACCTCGCTGCAAATCCCGATTAGAGGAAGAATATCCAAAAAAAGCAATCTTATCTGCCATCATATAGGTGGTCTGTAGCTAGTATATTGTTGCAATGTTTGAATTTGAATGCGTTGAAGTTCTATGTAGTGTGGGAATGTTGAACTTTTTATTTGAGTAATGTCATACTTGTATTATTTTTAATTAATTCGGATTGCCTCGCGAGTGGTTTAAATTCTTCATTTGCAACTTTTGTATAATATAATTAATCCAACGGTACTAAAATCTGGCGTGGCGTAACGAGAAAACTTTTCTAGCCATAACCTCTTGGTAAGTATATTTGCAAGTTTAATTTCAACAATAATGGATTAGTATACTCTTAAGCGTGATATTTTTTTAATACTACAAGGTGATTTTGTTATTTAGGTGGTAAACATATTTGATTCAGCCACTTAGGAGTCCTAGTTCCTGATCAAAACTGTTGTAGGCGAATGCGTGAATTTTTTATCCATCTTTTGCATTTGATCGACACCTGTTTTTTTTTTTGGTAATTAAGTTGAACATAATTTCTCTTGCGAAATTGCATTTAAGAAAACAATGTTATTTTGTTGGGAAAATGGAACTGTTTTAACTAACGCGTGTTTCTGTTTTAAGTTTTGATGATATTAATATTAATTATTTTTTGAGAGGTATGTTGAGGTATGCAAAATACTTTTGAGTAGGGGTGGTCCTAAATTCTAATTTTAGCCATACTTCAAATGTAGAAAACTGGGTTGAAGTTATATCTATCGAACGGTCACACACTCGAGTCACATTTGTGATTGCCATGTGCAAGTCTTAAAAAATATGCAGTTACTCCTATAAATTCTGCTCAAGCCCTCACAACATATGTAGTAACACTCGAGTCACATTAATTCAAATTTGTAATCTAAAATGACATAAGATTTAGATCCTTTAAAAGGGATAGGATATTGTGACAACTAAATAATGTTACTACCACATCTTAATTGTTGATTTTCGCCAATCAACGGTTATTATTTTTCAAATCAAACTCATTAATTAATTATTAATTCGCAATAAATGATAACCGTTGATTGGCAGAAATCAACGGTTAAGATGTGGTAGTAACATTGGTAATAACATTATTTGGTTGTCACAATAGGAACCGTGGCCAAAGTGCCACTGTTGGAAAAAAAAACACCAAAATGTCACGCCAACAATAAATTTTGCCAAAATGTCACGTGACATATTTCGCTACACTGTGTAGCGAAATATGTGTGCAAATAATTCGCTACATGGTGTAGCGAAATATTCCGCGTCAGAATGCGTGAACCAAAAATGTCACGTGTCAGATAGGGAGAATTTTGCTACACTGTGTAGCGAAATTCTCTCTGTT